TCTAAATGATGCATGACAGTCCAACGGTGAACAGTTAGACCCAGTTACAGAGTTACATACAATTGAATAGTTTTGAACTGGCTCCTACCTAAGACTTCAATTAATGGACAATGCTGAATGCTTATATCGTTTACTAGGAGAAAATGAATTTAATACTAACTTAAACGATAAATTTGAGGCTGGTTTTCTTCTCTTCATATAAGGTAAATTAGAAAATTATTTTGAATAAGAGTTTTCCTACGGATAAACTGGCCTTGTCTATGTCTCTAATATATTGAAATTTAAACAAAATATTGTTGGAGGGACTCACATTTCGTATGAAGTCGCATGAAGCAGTGATTAGTAGGTTGATCTCACCAGAAGAGGACGGATGAATCCCATTGAACTGCGGTCGTTTGGCTTTTATACGACGTTCAGGTTGACGCAGTCCACCAGACTTTCCTTTTTTCGAGTGAAAACGGGCTAGGCTTTCTTCCATCATTGAATAGACATCATCGAGCTGGGTCTCAATTCTGTAAAATTCTAAGGTTAACACGGACGTTAACACTGACTCCATGTTACCTCTATTATAGACTCAATTAAGTCAAAAGAAAATTAAAAACTTAGATAGATATGGAGTGGTTTGGCTAATTATCTTTCATACTGGTTCTGCTACTTTTGCTCGAATGTGTGCGTGTGTATGTGAGGGTGTCAGCGTCTATACGCAATACCGGTCTTAAATCAGAGTTATCAAAAGACTAATGTCAGACTAAGGTTGGAACCTTGAAGTCAATGATTACTAGAAGTATGAGGCTAGCGGATAGTAAACATTTGACTAAAGAGTTGGCACGGCTGACAAATTTATTCCTGGAAAATAATTATCCTTTGGGCCTTATTGAGGGACTGAGACCTTTTCTATGTGCTAATTTTGCCGCCGTGCCTTCTCTCAACAAAGATAGGCGAATTATTAAAAAAGTGGGGGATAAAAATAGTGTTCAAAGAAAGCATCACACTTTCTTCTGTTATGCCATCTTTTAGAGAGAAATATGACTCACGATTGAGATCCGGCTGCTACAAGATTGTTTGCTCATGTGGTCGATGTTATGTTGGTGAGACATGCCGACCTCTTCGACAAAGATTGGGAGAACACAAAAATGCTTGAAAAGGAAGCTGGGTCAAACGGTCAGATTTGGCCGAACACATGGTAGAAACTGGACATGAAATAGAATGATCTCAAACTAGTAGGTTTGCTGTTTATGGTTCGTCTGTGTTTAAAAGAAAGATAAGAGAGGCTATTGAAATTAATAGCTTCGGAAATACGTTAGATGTGAAGAACGGTGGTAGAAAGTTGAATAGGAACTACTTATGCTTGATTGATGAAGTGAAGGAGGGAGAGGATGTTGAGCCGCCATCAAAAAGGAGCCGACTCAATTTGTCTGCTCGGTGATGGTTCTAATTTTACTCACACTCGTCAAACATGTTAAATTAAGCTCATCAACCAAACCAGACGTGCCAGATTACGCAGCTCCAGTCATGCCTTTCCTTGGGGGGTTAAATGTTAATGAGCCTAGACTGAGAGGTTAGGACAAGTGGATTCGTAGCTTGACTTACATGCTTGCCTGCTCATATATCATTATCTCAAACATTCTTGTTTAAGGACTTACGCAGTCTCGGTCAGGGCTTTCTCTCGGGTCATTAGGCCTTGATGATCAGAGCCTGACATTAGTCTTTTGATAACTCTGATTTAAGACCGGTATTGCGTATAAACGATGACACACTCACATACACACGCACACATTCGAGCAAAAGTAGCAGAACCAGTATGAAAGATAATTAGCCAAACCACTTCATATCTATCTAGGTTTTTAATTTTTTTGACCTAATTGAGTCTATAATAGAGGTAAGATAGATTCGGTATTAACGTCCTAGTGTTAACCTGAGAATTTTACAGGAATGAGACCCAGCTCTGATGATGTCTATTCAATGATGGACGAAAGCTTAGCCCGTTTTCACCCGAAAAAAAGGTCTGGTGGACTGCGTCAACCTGAACGTCGTATAAAAGCCAAACGACTGCAGTCCAATTGGATTTATCCATCCTCTTCTCGTGAGTTAGACCTTTCAATCTCTTCTTTATGCACCTTAATACAAAATGAAAGTTCCCCAAACTCAGGAGATTCATCGAAACCCAGTTTCTCTCCGTATTTAAACACAATAATTATAGGTTTTTCTTGCTAATGTAACACTAAGTGTTCTTGACATCTTTTTCTAAAATTAGTCATCTTTACGAAGAGATTTCTAAGATCGTACCTTTGCTCCCTTTTCTGCGAGCTCTCATTTTAATTAACATCGGCTGATTGACTTGGTCCCCACCTTTATGTTCCTCCTGTATCGTAGTGAGACTTGTCACTGATGAACTATATCTCAATAAATAATATGGCATTTCTCGTTGCCCATAATGACTTCGATGCCGACGAAACGTCTAGAGATATGCCCAGATTGATAAGCTATTAGTAATCTTAAAATTTTATTTCTGCAACGTACTTGAGGCTTTCTCTGTTATACTCTTGTGCCAACACCCTTACGATTAGATCTAGCAAAGCACAAATCCATCTTAGATTATTACTGATTAGAGTACCTTTTAATCCTTACACCCCGCCTTCTATGAGTCCCATTGCTCATTGTACACACTAAATAAAGCTATACTTATTACTTGTGTTAATTTTAATAAGCAACACTCATAACACTCCATATTTCGAAAATGATCAAGTATCTATAATTTAGCATTCATATCATATAATAGTTTAAACTTCCCATTACTCATACTATGACTTTCTTTTTTTGCAGGATTGGGGTATTGTGCTCCAATGTCCTGCACCAGAATGCAATTTTCAGTCAGATGAGGAAGCTGAAGAGGCAAATTCGGCATTAGCTGAGAAAACGGACGAGTCATCTGTTCTTTCCGAACGAAAAGGAGGGCCAGAGAAATTATTGATACCTACAGCACCAGATAATCTCACTGGTCATATCCCTAGCTCTGTCCCCAAACTTATACCAGCTCCCATCGAGGTAGCCTCTTCTGAGTCCCCAAATAAACCACCTGGTCCTGTGACGTTGGTCAGTAGTGGAAGACACAGTTTTAGTATTGCTTCATCCAACGTGTTTGGTGCTCCCGTCGATCATGCAAGTTTGAATACTGCACCAATGCCTTCTTCCTATCCGCTACCTGGAAGTGGTTGCTTGTCTATACCCACTGGTCCAATAGTAATCTCTTGTGATGTTAGCCCAGCAAATGTATGCTTAGTGCTGGGAAAACCAGTTGGAGGTGACAAATCTAAGGTGATGTGGTGGCCTACACTCGCAACTGGAAGGACTCTAGGTGCTGGAATGGAGGTGAGTACATATAAAAAGAGATTATTCCCTATTTCTAATATAATTTAATCGAAAGTAGGTTGACCAAGATGGTGTAGCATTTAGTATGCTCCCGGCCTCTTTTCGTTGTATTTAAGTTGTTTGACCTTGTTTTTGCAACTTGGTCATATTGGTAGGGAGACCTAGAAGAACGCACCTTGTCCGGAGTACGTAGTATGCATGCTAATTTCCAGAGTCGGACCGTGGACTTGGTACATTTTTAGAATTCCAAAGAAGACACGGACTGTCTAAAATATAAAACGCGTGAACTCTACATCACCAACGTTAGAGGCCCTGAAGCGAATAAAGAAAAAGAAAGATAATATTAGCAAGTGTCCTATTTAGAAACGGCTGAATACATTATGGGAGGCGGATAGTAGAAAGTCAATCACTGAAAGGCGGCGCGAAGTATAAAAGTCTAAACTCTACCTATCACAGCAGAGGGGAGAAAGAGATGGAAGGAAACATAACCTTAAGAGGATGTTAGCTATAGATATGAAGACCAAGATGGTTCGCCTTCTGTTTGATCGCAGTCTCCTTTAGCTTTATAGTATTGGTTTGATCATGTTTTTGCAACTTTGTCGGAGTTTAAGCGAGACCCTGTGGAACGTACCTCGTACCATGTCCTCTGCCATAGTATTCGTGATTTCCAGCATTGGATCATTGGCTGGGTACGCACCCAAACGTTTCGTCGGCATCGTCAATGAGAGGCGCCATCGTAAGCACAGAGTTACAACTTCTCAAAGTGACAAACAAAGGCAATAATTTTGACCAATTTTCCGCTTAACCGTTGCTGCATCACTCCTTGCCTGTATTTTTTTGTTCAACACCCTAGTTATTTCTCGCAATCCTACTTTCCGTATCCATTTTTCTGTATAGTCGCTGGTGTTCTTTTATCCTTCTGCTGATCGTGATTCTTATCACTCCGATGCATTTGCTGTAAACTCTGGATCACTCCATTTAGTTGACTACTTCATGTTATGTGGGCAAGCTGATAGAGAGGGCTGTCCTTTCCTTCAGGATTGAACAAATGTTCCATTCTCCTAGTATTGGCCGTAGCTTCTAAGTCAATCGTTTTTTCTCTACTCCTCTTGCTTACTTTTCATATTCTCCGTCCTTCCATCTATTCATCACCATCCGTCTGTTGTGTCGTATTGCTTCTTCTGGATATCCGTTTCCAACACACATCTAAGTTGGTTTTCCCAGTTCCTCTTCTCAGAACTCAGAATTAGTGTCGTAAGTTTCTTATGATCATGCTCAGCAGTATTCCAATCTTAATCTCATAAGTATTGTTCGACTGGAAGTTAAGAGTTCTTTCAACGGTAAAGTTTTTTCTTGAGAGTTTCCTCGGAGCGAATGACTTCTACATCCAAGAACGGTAAGTGTCTGTTCTCTTTCACATACATGGTAAATTTGACTTTACCATCCATTTCGTTTATGATGATCAGGAAGTCGTCTAATTTTTCTTTTCCATGTGACCAAATTGCGAAGTTGTCATCCAAATATCGCATAATTACTGTTGGCTGCCAGGGACTATATTTTAAAATTCTCCTATAACTTTTTCATGAAGACATTAAAGAGAGGCCTGAGCGGTTAGCCTATAGGCAGACAAATATTTGCTTGTAGTGACCCATCGGCCTGTAGGACTATTTGATCGTTTCTTCCCAATTCTCTATATATTTTGGTTATATTGTCCTTATGTGTGGGTTCTTGATGGCGAAAAATGTTGGAATGATTTCCATTTCAAGTTCTATTTTTGATTTTTAAACTAGCTTTTTAGAGGTATTTATCAGCTCTAAAATGTCCTTAATTGTCTTCTATTCATTCCGAAGTGCAAAATTTAGTTCCTCTTGGATGATCTCTGGTTTACAGGTCAAGACGGACAGAAGATAGATTCGCTAATTTATCCACATTTCTTGTATGGAATTTGACACTCGTCAACCTAAAGGCATCTTGATTTTTCAAAAATGTTTGGACCTTGGA